AACTACCCATGACATAAATTCATTGAAGACTAGAGAGGACGTGGTTGAAGTCTACAATAGAAGATGGTTAAGATGGGAGAAGTTACAACCGTTGAGGAATCATGGGACATGTGGCAGTCCGGAACTATTCCACGTGGAAGCTGCTAAAACTGCCACACCAAGTTGTTGCATGCATGGAGAATTCTATAAATAGAATACTTAGGCTTCACTTGCAAACCCTGTTCAAATCACACAGCAAAACATCACTTTCAATATCTTTACATTCATGTAATGCAATTTCATTATGTTTAATTCAAGTCCTGCACTTATCTTTCTTACTTTCCAAGTCCTACACTTCAATTCCTTTACTTTGAAGTCCTGCACTTTCAATACCGCTTTCTTTTCCACTAGCCATAGTTCAGTCCAAAAGTCCTTTTTCAAGGCAAAAAGAACCCTTGAAGGTGGTAATTCTAGTCCTTCATTCAATCGCCTGATCACTATAATTTCCTACTAGATAGTTGTTCGGATACTCATTTTGGAACGACAACAGTTCCTGGCACGCCCGACATCCACTCCTACTTTCCACTCACCTGGAAAGTGAAACTAGCACTTCTCCGCGAGCCGAACATTTCTTGGCACGCCCGGCGGGACCTCTTAACAGATTGTCCAATGGCCGATGGAAGAAGGCAAGGCAAGTCTATCCAAGACGCTGCCGAACTAGAAGAGATGCAAGTCAGTGAACTTCTAGTGGAAAGTTCACGATTCGCACCCGATGAAAATGATATGGTGGAAAAATTTGCTCAAACAATGGCAAATGGATCCATCATGGACAACATCCGCATGATGGCAATGCAACAGGATAGGTTTGCGTAAGACAAAGCTAGAGTCGCCCAAGACTTAGCCAGAGTTACGCAAGATCAATCCAAAGCTAGTCAAGACCATGCAAATGCCGCTCTTGCTAATGAACGGAATTTAGCAGAAATGGTGGACCAAATCTCTCAAAGGTTCGAGTCCATTTTGGAACAGACCCTTGGAAGCTTAAACCAAGGTTTGGCCCTTCGGCGAAACAACTCTGAAGGGTCTCAACAGTCGGCCTTCCAAGCTAGTAGGCCGGCCACATTTGTTGAAGGGAGTTCCTCTCAGCAACATGCAGGGCCACTCTTTCCAACTCAGCAGCAGGTGCAGTCCCTTCTAATGGCACAGACTTATATTCCAGCTGCACCTGTGACTGCTCCAGTGGCACAGATGACTGTTCCACAAGTAGCACCCATGCCAACCATTCAACAAGTTTAGAATCCTCCACCTATGGCGTTTCCACAGCAGACTTGGCATGATCAGTCTGGCCAACCATGGCCATACCACAATCCTCAAGCACAACAGAATGTTCCACTTGTGAACGTTCAGCCAGCCACACCTGCTCCAGTAAGGCCACCACCTATGGTCATTCCAATGGCGGTTAGGGGGCAACCTTTTCCAAGGGAGCCACTTATTGACCAAGGAGGAAGGAACCGTGGTAGGAACAATTATGCAGATGCTAACCCCTTGCTAATGGCGGGTGGGGGGCATCAAGTAGCCAATCAACCTCAAGGTTGGCCAGACAACAACCTTCCACTACCTATGGCACTTGACAGAGGTCAATTGCCAGAATTCCTTCAATAGGAATTTGGCCTAACTCGAAGGGGTGGAAGGCCAACTTGCAGAAAGCCTTATCCAGAGTTCATTGATGAAGTTGAATTTCCAAGGAATTTCAGAATTCCAGAGTTTGCAACGTTCAATAGAGAGGGCGAACAGTCTATCTTGGAACATATCAGTCGGTTCACTGTCAAATATGGAGAAGCAGCAGCCAATCCATGGCTGAAGGTACGCTTGTTTCCAAATACACTGACTGGGTATGCTTTCAGGTGGTATTCCAACTTGCCAGCCAACTCAATTCAAAGTTGGCAGCAATTTGAGGATTTATTCCATACTCAGTTCTATAGAGCTGAGCTTGAAGTGTCCATGGCAGACCTTTCTAAACTTCATCAACTACTTGGAGAGTCTGTGAAGAGCTTCCTTTCCAGATTCAGGCGGGCCAAGTTCAAATGTAATTTGTCTTTGCCGCCGAAAGAATATGTGAAGATGGCTGTGAACGGCTTAGAATTTGAAGTTCGCAAGAAGTTTGAAGGTGTACAGTTCCATGACTTGTTCGATTTGGATGGCAAAGTGGTTAAGTATGAAGAGCTCCTTCGTGAAGAGCAAGATAGGAAGAACTCTTCCAATGGCACCTACTATCGTGATCTTAACTATAAGGTGTATACCATTGAAATTGAAGGGGAGTTTGAAGTTAACGTAGCCGAGCTCAACATAAAGAAGGCTTACACTTGTGAGGCCTTGACAAAGCCGAAATCAGCCACGGCCAACTTGCAAGCTGCCTCTAGTTCCAAGTGGAAAGGGCCAGACTCTTCCAGAAGTTACTCTTTTGACATTTCTAAAGCAGAGCAAATCTTTGATTTGCTCATGGTTGACAAGCAACTGATTTTCACAGCAGGCCATAAGATGCCGTCGGCTTCAGAAATGGCCGAGAAGGAGTATTGCAAGTTCCACAATTCGTGGAAGCATTCCACTAATAATTGTGTTATTTTCTGCAACATTGTTCAAAAGGCAATCGAAGATGGCCGTTTGAAGTTTCCAAAAAAATCAGAAGTCATGGGTGTTGATGGAAATCCTTTCCCCAAGGTTGTTGTAACAAACGTTGCTTCCATGGTTCCGGAGCATTCCAAAAAGGAGGTGGACTTGTTAAATCCGGTGACCAGTGGAAAGTTGGAAATTCCAAAGGCAGCAACATCTATGGAGAAGACAGTAGCTGAGTTGGAGAGGCAACTCCGAGAGGCCCAGATTGCTTTAATCCAACAAGGTTGTTGTTCCAAGTGTAAAGTTCAGAATGAAGGTTGCCGTAAAGACTTTCTAAAAGAGAAACAGAATGAAAAGTCCTCCAATAGTGACCGAGGTCAGAAAAGGAAAGTCCATGACCGGCTAACTTTCCAAAAAGTGGAAAACACAGTTATTGTAACCATTCCAGAGAAGGAAAGCCGGGTTCATCTAGAAAGAAAGGCAGCAGAGAGGAAATTTGAGATACTTTCAAAGAATTTGGAAAGGAGTAAAGTTTCCTATCAGCCAGGTTCTCGTCCTTCTAGCAGAAAGTTTGAAAGTAGTAGATGGCAAGACAGAGGTTCTGAAGGTGACAGGCATTCCAGGCCAAAATTGGCCTCGGAAGTATAGGTTAGAAGGGGGAGTGAGCATCTCCAACCAAGAATGGTTAGACCTCCTACCTATTAAGATGAAGGATGGAGAAGGCTTGATCATCCCAAGTTTCCCACTCATGATGATTCCTATATGAACCGCACACAAAAACGAAGGCAGCAAAGGAAGAGGGCTGATAGAAGAAGGTTATGGGACAAAGACCATGGCTGGTCCAGTTATCCAAAGAAGACTACTAGGCCGTTAGATTTATCAGAGCTTCTAGCTAGAGGAAAGGAGAGAGATCCTGATGATTTGTTAGATCTTGATTCAAAGGTTGGAAATTCCTTGACTACAGACAATCCTCCGATGAAAGATAAAACAGATTTGGAAATTCCCAGCAATTCCAGTAGCAACAAGAAAATCTGTTTTGGGAGCCTTCCAGGTGAATTTACTTGCAATATGGTAGTGGTTCTTCTTTTATTTTTTGAGCCACAACCAGATCAGCCCAATTCAATGGAATGAGATGTAATAGATACAAGTCCACCCATGGAAAGTCTTAGAGAGTCTAATTTTGGGCCATTCATAATGGAACCAGACAAAGGTATCCATATAGAAGAGGTTTTTAAAGATGAAGCTGAGCATCTCTAGAAATTAAAGGGGGTTGTGATTGAAGAGAACAGCCTCACGAGGCCAAAGAAAATTGTGTTGGAAAAGCCACCATATGGCATGACTCAGTAGCTCAAACCTTTGTACATCAAGGTGCTAGTGGAAGGAAGGACTTTAGAAAGAGTTCTGGTGGACAATGGTTCGGTGTTGAATGTTGTTCCAGTCAATGTTATGCGCATGCTTGGAAAGTCTCCTGAAGATATCATTCCAAGTGATGTGTCCATTAGTGGATTCACAGGAGGAATAGTGAAGACGCAAGGAATCCTACCGTTGGAGTTAACGGTGGGAAATAGAACTTCCATAACAGCTTTCTTTGTTATTGAGTCCACAGCGGCTTATAACTTGCTCTTAGGCCGCGAATGGATTCACCCAAATTTTTTCATTCCATCTTCGCTCCATTAAATGCTAATATTTTGGGATGGAGATGAGGTAAAAGTGGTGGAAGCTGATAGCCAGCCATTTGTGGCAAAGGTTTACCATGCAGATGCTGAGTTGTATAGCGAAGAATTCGTTCCAATAAGATTTATTAGAAAGGATAACAAGGGCCGTCCAAGGAAGGCCACCATGAGAAGGACTCTTACGGAAGAAGATGTAAGGGAGCTTTTCCAAGAAACACTAAGGTCAACAATTCTACCCAAGGCCGGTGTTCAGTAATACATTTCAAACAAAAGTTTTTATGGAAGAGAAACCTAAAGAAAATAGAATACTTGGCGGTTAACTGTTGCCTTGCCAGGTTGAAAGCATATCTAGCCGAACTACGGTTGGAAAGAGCTGCTGTTGCTGGTACTCTATTTTCAACCAATGTTTTGGAGATTATGGAAGATGTTGAAGACAAGTTGGATGCTATCTAACTCATAGATTTAAAGGCAGCACCAGCGAAGTTAGAGGATCTTAAGGCCGAAGTGCAAGATCCTTTGTTGGAAATCAATCTTAGAATGGAGCAAGACCCTCGGCCTACCTACATCAGTAAGCTTTTGGAACCAATCTTTAGAGATGAATTGATTTCTTTACTTGAAGAATACAAAGATTGCTTTGCATGGACATATGAGGAAATGCCAGGACTTTCCAGAGAGCTGGTAAAGCATAAGTTGCCAATTAAGGAAGGTTTCAAGCCTTTCAAGTAGCCTCCAAGAAGGATGTCCCAGGAAGTTGTTCTAAAGGTCAAAGAAGAGATAGAAAGGCTACATAAGGCTGGTTTTATAAGAACCGCCAGGTATGTTGACTGGATTTCCAATATAGTTCCAGTTATTAAGAAAAATGGCAAGCTAAGGGTATGTGTGGATTTCCGGAATATCAATCTTGCAACTCCAAAAGATGAGTATCCCATGCCTATTGTTGACCAGTTAGTAGACTCTGCTGCCAAGAATGAAATTCTTTCATTCATGGATGGACATTCCGAGTACAACCAGATTTACATTGCAGAGGAAGATATTGCCAAGACAGCCTTCAGATGTCCAGGTTCTATTGGAACCTTTGAATGGGTTGTCATGCCATTTGGGCTGAAGAATGCCGGAGCAACATATCAAAGAGCCATGAATGCTATATTCCATGACATGATTGGCTATTTCTTAGAAGTCTACATTGATGATGTGGTCATCAAGTCCTCGGCTAAAGATCAACATCTCCACAATTTGAAAATGGCTTTTAAAAGGATGAGGCAGCACAAGTTGAAGATGAATCCTTTGAAGTGTGTTTTTAGGGTTTCAGCTGGAAATTTCCTAGGTTTCCTGGTCCACCAAAGGGGTATTGAGATAGATCAAAATAAAGCAAAGGCAATTATTGAAGCAAAGCCACCAGGCACTAAGAAAGAGTTGCAGCGATTCCTCGGTCAAGTTGGATATTTAAGGAGGTTCATTGCCAACCATGCTGGAAAGACTCATGCTTTCTCCCCTTTGCTGAAATTGAAAGGTGTTGAGGAATTCAAGTGGACAGAACAGCACCAGCAAGCCTTTGAAGGTTTGAAAAGCTACCTGGCCAACCCTCCAGTGCTGATGCCTCCAATCAAGAAGCGGCTTTTAAAATTATACTTATCGGCCGCCGATGAGTCCATTGGAACTCTATTAGCTCAGAATAATGAATGGGGGAAAGAGCAAGCCATCTATTATCTAAGTAGGGTGCTCACTCCAGTAGAATGTAGGTATACTTCCATTGAAAAGTTGTGTCTTTCCTTATACTATGCGGCTATGAAGTTGAGAACTTATATGTTGCCAGTGGCCGTGTATGTAATCTCCCAAATATATTTGATTAAGTATATGCTTTCCAAGCCTTTGATCACTGGACGTATTGGAAAGTGGTCATTTGCCTTAATGGAGTTTTCCTTCAAGTATATTCCACAAAAGGCAGTCAAAGGAAGGGCGGTAGTAGAGTTTCTAGCAGATCATCCATCTACTAAGATAGATTCAGAAATATGTGATGAGGTGGATAATCTCTACCTTGACTATACACCTTGGACTCTTATGTTTGATGGATCAAGCACTCATGATGGAGGTGGAGCTGGAATAGTCATCATTTCTCCGAAAGAAAGGAAAACCAAATTTTCTTTCTTCTTGGATTTCAAGTGTACAAACAACCAAGCTGAGTACGAGGCATTAATTATTGGGCTGGAGATTCTGCTAGAGCTAAAGGTGGAGAAGGTCCAGATTATTGGAGATTCCAACTTGATACTTAGCCAATTATTTGAAGAATATAGATGTCTTAACTGGCATTTGAGGCCTTTCCTGAAAGTCCCACCGGGTGTGGAAGAAGCTCAGATCACAGTTAAAAGAAGAACTCTTCCTTCGGTAGAGTTATGGTATGAGATGGCAAGTCATTTCCAATCTGAAGAGCCAGAAAAATTCAAACCTGCCAATAAGCCATGGGAGGTTTTCAATATTGATATAGATGGATTAGATTTGGATGATTGGAGAACACCAATTATCCAATTCTTGCAAGAGCCTAGCTCCAAGGTGGATAAGAGAATTCAGCTTTTGGCGCCACATTACATTCTGATTGATTGGGACCTCTATAAGAAGAGTAAAGAAGATGGACTTTTGTTAAGATGCCTTGGAAAGGATGAATCCATGAGGGTAATAGCGGAAACACACCTTGGAATATGCGGAGCACATCAAGCTGGAATCAAGATGAGGTGGCTCCTTAGAAGGTATGGTTATTATTGGAAAGGCATATTGAAAGACTGCATAGAGTTTGCCAAGACTTATACTGCATGTCTAGAACATGGCCCGATCCAAAGAGTTCCAGCTATTAATATACAGCCGATAGTGAAAATATGGCCATTTAGAGGGTGGGCTTTGGACTTTATTGGAAAGCTAAGGCCTCCATCTTCAGATCGCCATACTCACATAGTGGTGGCAACCGATTATTTCACAAAGTGGGTGGAAGCTATTCCACCAAAGACTTGTAAGTAGTCAACGGTGATTGATTTTATTAAGAAGCACATTATACATTGGTTTGGAATTCTAGAGACTATCACCACTGATAGAGGTCTATCCTTTGTTGGAAGCAAGGTCTTGGATTATTGTGCTGAGTGTGGTGTACAAGTGATCAGTTCCACTCCATATTTTGCCCAAGCAAATGGACAGGCAGAAGCTTCCAACAAAGTAGTCCTCAACATCCTTGAAAAGATGATTGAGGATCATCCAAGGGAGTGGCATCACTTGCTTTCTGAAGCTCTTTGGGCCTACAGAAATTCAAAAAGGTCAAGTACAGGCGTCATACCATATGTGTTTACATATGGACATGATGCTGTCCTTCCAATGGAGATGACAATCAAGTCTGCAAGGGTGGCTTTCCAAAATAGGCTAACAGCAGATTACAACCATGCCATGTTAGCGGAATTAGAAGACCTTGATGAAGTTCGTCTCAATGCTCTAGATCATATTATTGCTCAAAAGAAGAAAGTCATGCGGGCATACAACAAAAAGGTTAAGGCAAAGACATTTATAGAAGGAGACTTTGTATGGTAGGTCAAATTTCCACCCGGAGTTAAAAGTTTGGAGTATGAAAAATGGACTCCTAATTGGGAAGGTCCTTATTTGGTAGAACGAGTCCTTGGAAAAGGGGCTTATAGATTGATAAATATAGATGGAGGGTCTTATAGGCATCCTGTGAATGGTGTGTACTTGAAAGAGTACCACCCTTCCATCTATGAAAATTGGAAATCCACAATCATTCAACTGGCCATGTAGAATGGCTGGCATCTTCCTTTCCAAGTAAACCGAAAAGTTGGAAAGGAAGCGTAATGGCCATTCGGCCATTCCAAGAAGGAAAAGCTAAGTACTTGGAAAAGTACATTGGCTAGAGTTATGAAGCTGACTTAGCTGAATTTCCAAGATCAATTGATTTCCTAAGTATGGAAGACTTCATTGAGGAACTGGCTACGCTACGTGTTCCAGGTTTTAATCATACTAGAAATTGTTCATCTTGCTTGCATATACATGCATTTCCATTATGGTAATTTTTTTTTATTTCTTTGAATTTCCTTTGTTATGGACAGCCAATTATATGGCTATGCCTTATTGTAAATATATGTGAAGAAGTTTTCTAGTTTCAGTGACTTAGAAGTTTCTTTTCCATATAAATTATGAAAGAGGCACATGCAAAGGGTTGGGAAATAGAGCGTTATCTCATTAGATACTGGATTTCATTACAAAACTCAAAAATGGCCTCCTAAACCTAGGATTGGCCATGCAAAAGTACCCATTACTTGTTTCCTATCCACAAGTTTTCCAAAAACAACCACACAATAGAACCATAAAGAGAAACACATGAGATCAGATAGAGGCAAGAACACCTCCAAGTTCATTCCAAATTTTCCTTGTTTCTTCAAGAGCAGCCACTGCTCTAACCTTTGCATCCTCAAATTTAGGAAAGGCTTCAACTCGCTTTTCCTATTCTTTCCTTAAACGTTCGGACGCATTGACAAGGGCATTAGCTGTTTGGTCCAATTTAAGTTCTTCACGTTCTACTTGTTCCAATTCCCTTTGAACTTTGGCCAGTTCTTCATTCAGTTTTTCTTTCTTGATCATAAGCTTTTCAGCTTGATCTTTGATTTCTGGGTAGGATTCTAAGGAGAGTTAAAAATCCTTAAGAGCTTTATCTCTGACCTTGGCTTCTTTTTCATACTCGAAAACTATAGAAGTACTGGAGCTCACATGGGCAACAATGAATTGGAGTTGGTGTTGCAGCTTAGTCAAAGAAGCCTGGATGGAATCAGGAAATTCCGGATGTTTTTTGAGGGTCACAATAGTACTGGCTCGACTTGAGTGGAAAGAGACTACATCTTCGACATCGTGGGCAAGATAAGACAGCAACTTTTCTTTAGCCACCATGATAGCATCATTTGACGTTCCTGGAAGTGTGAGGACACTTGCACTTGAAGTAGAAGTACTGGAAGATTTAGTGGCCTTGATCACTTTGTAAAGATCAGCTAAGGCTGGAAGGGCTCTCCTCTGCATCATAAAGGAGGTTGAGGTAGATAAGAAAGGAGTTGCCTAAAATGGAAACAAGTTTCTATTAGATAGAAAGAAAGAAAGGAGGCAAAGTGTAAAGGAATGAAGACTTGCCTCTGGGATGGAAGGAGTATGACCAGTAGAAGTTCCACCAGTTCCGGAAGGAATGGATACTCCAATAGTGGAAGTTGGAATGGGTTGACTTTTCTCATTCTTTATGGTCAAACTTTCCATAATTGAAGCTTGAAGGGCCAAATCCTCTCCTTGTGCAACTTATTGCTCCAGGTGGATATTCATGAAATTGTGTCCCATAGTAGAGCCCTATTGGTCAAGTTGAAGTTACAAACATTTTAAAATATAAAGTAATGAGATAGACAAGGATATTGATTGGGACTTACCAAAACACGCTCTTTGGATGACTTTGGTTTCTTGTGTTTTGGTGAGTCTCCGGTTTGTTTGAACTTTTCTGTTTTTTCCAGTTCAGGCATGATTTTTCTTTTAGCCTTTCCAATAACTTTTCCGGAAGGGCTACGTGTTTTTAGGGCTTTACTGGAATGTTGAGTAGTGGTTCGCCCTTTGGAAATGCCAACTTAACCATTAGAAGAATCTTCATCAGAAGAGGATAGTTGGACCTGAAATTCTTTTTTGACAATGGCCAGTCCCTACAAGAGGAAGTATAAGTAAGGTCCAGAATATGGAACGGTTAAGTTCGGCCATATTAAAATACCTGAGAAGTTTTTCCTTTTCCCTTTGCCTTGTATAAAGTATCCTCCTCTTCCTCTTCCACTTCTTCTTCCTCTTCTTCATCATCACTTGAGGAAAGACTTTCAATATCTACATCACCCCTTTCGGCTACACCTTCAATTTTACTAGCCATTGTGGTGGTTTTCTCTCCACCTTCTTCTTCTTAACTTTCTTCGAGTATTTCCTCTTCTTCATCTGAAATTAACCAAGTCTTAGCATATGGAAGGTTGATGGATTTCAAAAGGGAATGGAATTTACAGTAAATACATTAATACTTAGAGACAGAGGCTTGAAAGATGCCAGTACGGAATCACAGACAGCCTTATGATTCTTGCTCGGGTGGAGGAGATATAAGCTGACCACCATACATCGAATTCATTGGTTGATTGAGGCTTGCTAGTATGGCCTTTGAAATTAAAAGCTGCCCTTTCTGCTATGTAGGCTTGGTCAATCGCTACAAATTGTTCAGTATCTGTAAGACGAACACGTTGGTCAAAGAACCTGTTGTAAGATTTGCAGGGTGGCAAAGGAATCATTTGGGTAAAGCCCATTTGTCTTGCTAGTTGGGCTGGGTTGTAGAACTCAACTCCATAGAAACTATTCTTCAAAGTTGGTTGAGAGTGCTGTAATGGAGGTCACGAGCAATAAGGAAGCTGGCCCAAATATTTTTCCAATCTTCAGAATGTTTCTTGGTGGATACTCCGGGAGATGGAACTAACCATGATGGCATACGACCAATGGCAGTAAATGGATCAAAGAATTCATTGTTTCCAGTCTCACATTGATTGTAAAAATATTCAAAGTTTTCAGCAAAGCTGAAAGGAGAGGGATTTGCGGTTGCCAAAGAATGGGACAGAAGGGATTTTCCAGCTGGAGTGACTAGGGGTGAAGTTCTGTTTTGGAAGTACACTTTAAGCCACATTTGGAACAACCAGAAGGGGCCTTGGAACCTTAAAAACCCGGAAGTAAGGAGATCGTAAAGACCTTTGTATAAATAAGAAAGTACAAGGGGAGCTAATGCTAAGTCTCCATTTCTGGCTAGGGAAACTGCCACTTGAACAAAGTCTTTGGTGATTTGGCCAGATGGAACACATAGCAAGTGGCCAGAGAGCCAACAAATCAAGAAAGCAATGTGCTCATCTTCTAGAACTGGGCCAGTTTGCTTGCAGTGTTTAATAAAAGGAAGATGGGAGGAGATGAACTTCTTACTTCCAGTGGTCTTGGTTGGAAAGAGGAATTGCTCAACAAAGAGAGTGGCACTTATGTCATCTCCATGAGGCTTAAGACCTATGATGCAACAAATATCTCTCAAAGTGGGAGACGTCATTCCACATTTAAGATGCATGGAATTGGTGGTTGAAGACCAAAAGAAAAGGGCTGGAAAGAGGAGGGTTGGATCGAGTGTTATGGAGGACTTACTGATTTGGATAATGTCATAGATGCCCTGTTTCTTCCATTGTGAAGAAATTTTCTCGTCCTTGGAAAGACGACTCACCCATGAAGACCAGGATGAATGATATATTGGCCAGTTTCTTATGCTGAATGAGGGTTTAACTTTTTTCCCTTTCTTTGAAATAGGAGGGAACTCTGAATCAAAAGGATGTGGAGACTTACTAGAAGGGTAGAATTTGGCTATTTCAGAGGGAGCCACGTTGGCAAAAGCTGGACCCAGTCCAACTGAGTCATCTTTGAAGTTGATCAGAGTTTCAAGATAAAGCCTAGCAGGGTTTAGAGACTTCAAGAGTACTTGAACTTGGTGACTATGGCTTCGGATTTTGGTTTTGGTTTGAAAAGAAGGAGCTGGCAGGGATGAGCTAGTAGTTAGTTTGGAAGATTTCTTGGGAGGTATGGTCTATAATTTTTTCATGGATAGGGATGTTCTTTAGGGTTTCAGAAGGAGGAAAGATGATAGAAGGAGAGTTGGTGGCAAACGATAAGGATGGAGGATATATATATATATATATATATATATATATATATATATATATATATATATATATATATATATATATATATATATATAAACGATAAGGAAGGAAGTAAAGGCTGAGGGCGTTTTCCTAGGATGGGTGGTTGGTTTTTTTTTCAAAATTCAAAAGGAAGTCTTAAAAGGTTTTGGAAGCTGGATGGTGTAATAAGTGGATGAGAGGTTTATTGGGAGACGGAATGTGCTTGGCGGTTGGAAAGATTAACATGGTAGGATCAAGAGACCAGCCGAATAACACGTGGAAGATTTTATTCGTTTATGGGGAAAACTTTCAAAAATCACGGACGCCTTTTCAGGAGGGGTAGTTAGAGGAGGACTTTCAAAAGGAAAAGGAAATAATGTGGATTGTGAATGTTGGAGGCTCTATGCCATAAATGGTTAGAATCTCCTTAAAGATACGAAAATCAATGATTGGAGATGGTCTCAGAAAATACAGGGGGAGCAGCCACATGTTTTCTTTTGATGATTGTCTTGAGTGTTCAAAAGACCTAAGGGTGCTATTGGAAGGGTTTCAGTTGGATTTTTTGAAATTCAAAAAAGGAAAGTAAAGAGATTTTTATGGGAAGTAGTGAATATGTCTTTTAGGGGCACATGGCATCTAGATGATTGGTGATTAAAGGAAATTAATATGATTGAAGCCGCAAAATTAGTTATGGTTAGGGCTGGAAAATCAAGCGACCATGATGGTATTATGATGGCGGAAATCAAATCCCACACCTTATTTTCAAATTGTTTTACAAGGCATGGAATTTGGGGGGCATATGTTTATTCCATTATTTTTACC